AAAAAAAAAAGACATTGTGAGGTCTTCTGTCTCACAATGTTTTTCCACATTGACGTCATGATTAGCCCAGTTTTATTTGACAGAAAGCTGGAGGAAAAACCTAGAATCATTCTACTCAGTCTTCTGCCATTTTTTCGAGAATTAAATGTAGTGTCTTGCAAGCTAGCAGAGGAGTAGCAGCCTGTCTCTTACCTATAGTTAGTCAGGAAAAACAAATCCCAATATTTTAAATTCCCTAACGTATTCACAGATGTAAATGTTTCTGAATCATTATAATTCATAAGCTTCTGCTCCTAAGTCTTTCTTTGTCCTTCAAGAGGGCTGTGAGGGTGCTGGGACACAGTGACTCCTACTTACTTGCCTTTTCCAATCAACACAGATCTAAGGAAGGGTCAGAAGTTATAGGTCACCAATCTATAAGAAACACAAGGAAGAGCCCATGGAGAAAAGAGAAAGCAGCGAAAAGAAAAAGGTACTGGGAGATAAAGTGTTGAGGAGACTTGGGAGGGGGAGGGAACTATTTTTGAGTCATATTGTTTAAGAGAAGGAGCACATTGCATCTGGCTTAGGGTATGTTTCAACTGGTCATTTACTCACTCATCCCCCCAAATATTTAAGACATATTAAATATTCTTAATATATTTACTATATGCCAGGTCCCTGCATTGGGTGCATCAGCGACCAGAACAGACAAAATCTATGCTCTCGTGGTGCTTATTTTATTATAGTCAGAATTCTTATTTGTAGTTCCTATAAAGCACCTCTGAAATCCTTTGCTTTAATATTTTCCTCCTTTTCCCTCTGTTAATCTTTTTTTTTAACATAGTTGATTGAAAGAATAGAAGTAGGTTTTTCATTTGTTTCCTCACAACTGCCAATTTCTTATACTTGGAGGAACACTAAAATCTACATTCAGTCTAAAGATGGAACTAAAAAATGTTAAGTCCTTAAATATGCATTCACAAAAACTTTCTATATGGCGGGTGAAGGAAAAGTAAAAGAAAAGTGCAATGTATGACTTACTGATTCGGTATATCAGAACTTTGCTTCCAGTGCAATCTCTGGCTCTCAGGACTCCGTGGTAGCCAGCCTTCAGAAGGCCAAGAATACTTCCAGGTAGTAGATTTGCACTTATTTCTGGACATTCTGTTCTCCACTTATAATAGTTTTTTAGTAGCTGAAAGATAAAACAAGAAATCCCTGCAGATGATGTTCATGGTCAACACTTCATGAAACTGGTAGGAAAGCCAATATGGAGCCTCCCTGATGGCCCACGAGTGAGACACAGCATTATGAAGTTATGTGCAGTCATTGCAGCAAGAGTTCAATCCCCAGCTGGCCAGAGGGTGACCCACAAGGTGCAGCAGACCTCTCCTGATCCACCCGCTGCTCCCCTTGGCAGTGCATTTCAGTTGATCTGCCTGTTCAATTTCCCAGTCTGTCTCTAGTGAATCTTCTCAACCCTACCCCCACCTCCCACAACTGCCCCACACTTCTGGCAGATGCTGTTCTTGTATGCATAAATAAAGACATCTTTAAAACAATAAACAAGAAAAGCTGATGCATTACCAGTTGTCCTTGCCATCAAGGATCCCATTTAGTAAAAGTAAATTAGAAATTCAAAGTGGAGAAATTTTCATGTGTCCCTTGTGGTAGTCTCCAAATAAAGCTGCTAACAACTGCTGTACACAGGCCACACTTCCCTGAAAGGGGTGGAAGGTGCCTTCCCCATGAACTTGAGGTGGGTCTTATATCTTACTTTGGCCCAAGTGACACCTTCCTAGATTTGAAGAAGAAGGCTGGGATTTTTTTTTTTAAAGACTTATTTATTTGTGCATACAGAACTGGGCTAGAGGCCAGAGGTGCAGGGGTGGTGAGAGGATTCACCAGACAGAGTAGGGGAGCAGAACAAGCAGACTGACGAAGCACACTGCTGAGGGGAACAGCCTGTGGATCAGAAGAGGGAGCCTTCCCACAGGGGATAGAACTGCACTGAGGTGGCTGCAGCCAGCTTGCAGTGCTAAGTCCTAACAGGTTGCCCCACAGGGAGGTCCCCAAGCCTAGGGCTTTTAAGAAGACTCCAGACCACAAAGTAAGATTATCAAGTAATTAGTGTACGCAGAGAAGAGTCCACGGAAAACAAGAAATTGCTTTAGTCTGAACCTCAGTCAAGTTCCCATCTATTACAACGTTAAGCATTGATGTGTCCTGTCCAAGTTGGAGAATCACAAACAGGAAGTTGTGGTTTAAGCCACTATATATGCGGATGAAGTATCAAAGAGTATTACACTTTTGAACTAATAAGGAATAGAAATTAATCAGATAAATTAGCTGTATTTTTAGTATCTACAATAGTTCATGCATTGTGTTAGGCACTTGAGTTATAGCCGCAAATAGAATAAAATTCCTGTTCTCTTTGAAACTGACCTTCTGGTGACAACTGGGTCATACAGGCTATGCTTTGTACTGAAAAGTTCCCAGGCTGCTTTTTCAGGAAAATCTTTGTTCTGCCACTAGTTATCTATGTGATCTGGGGTAACAACTATTTAACTCCTTTGAATCTTTCCATACCTGCCCTGTAGAAGTGATAGTTAACATTCTATTCTACTAGTAGAGTAAGATTATAGATGACTTGTTTATACAAGCAGTAAGTACAGGTTTATATTAAAGATAACTATAATCTTTAATGTAAGCATTCAAAGAGCCTACAGAATGCTTGAATATTAGTGCTTAGAAAAATGTGGTTTAAAAGAATCTCATTTGTTGAGAGGAACCACCAGCTATAGTTACTTTATATATTATGTACTTTATATATTATTATGATATAAACATTGCAAGTGTATTGTGGAGAAGGCTCAAATCATAATGTGTTTGAAATTTGCTATATTTTAATTTTTCCATTTTATGATTTAGAATATTCTAAATTTTAAAACTATGGCAGAATATTTGTTTTGCGTTTAAAGAGATCAAACAGCAATGTGGAACTGAAGTTCAGAGGAAAGGTCCTGATAAATTGTATATTTGAGTTGTTGGAGTAAAGATGATAAATAATAAGCACAAACTAGTAATAATCTAGAGGAAAAATTACAAATACTAATTTTAAAAACTAAGTTGTGGGTGATATTCCAAGAATGGGAAATGTTCATTAACTGGAAGTGATTGGAAAGAGGGAGAGAGGGAGGAAGAAGATGGTTAGATTGAAAAACAAGAAATACACAGAAGGGAGGGAAAAGTCTTCTGTATTCTCCTCCCTCCTTTCCCTCCTCCCTTCTTCCCCTCTTGCCTGCTTCTCTCTCTCCCACTCACAGGTCTTTCTTTTTACCATTGCTGCATTTAGTACCTTTCACAACTGTTTTAAAAAAGAGAAAGTTGCTAAGAGTTAAATGCAAACAAGAGGTAACAACGAAAAAAGTCAGTAAATTTGCCAACAAAGAAATAATCAGTGACCTAAATAGCAGTTTCCAGAAGCAGCAAGAACAAAAGGCACATTGTATATTCTGATATATTCAATCTAGTCTATAAGAAGAATTTAGCTTCCTTCTCTTGTTTCAGGATTAACAGAATAAGTGTTAGAAGCTTTATACAGTGCTCATTCCTTTTTCAATAGTTCCCTCAAACATACAAATAGTCCTTTTCGTTCTGGTTCAAGCAAAATGCTAGAAGCAATGTATTAGCTTCTATACAGAAAGATTTTATTTTCCTATGGAATGATAAAAATTGTTGCTTCAATTAAAGGGATCTGTTAGGTATTTGAAGCAGGGCCCTTTGCTTATTTGCTCAGCAGAGGCAACAGCTACAAGTGTTAAACGAAAGAAGAAATCAGTGCATGACAAACCACTTGGCACCACCTACTTGCAAATAAATGACTTTTGTAAAGAAGTAGAAATTACCTTTCTATTTTTGTAAGACCTAACTTTTGCAAATTGAAAAATCTGGATCGTTGATGATTACCTTTCCACTGATAACTCAAAGGTGCAATTGACACAAGTGTATAAGTAAAAACTGCCACTGAGCAATTCTCCAATCCAGAACCACTAAAAGTTTACAACAGGAAAGAAATAAGCTGTGAATGAATATTCACTATGGAAGATATTTATTTATACCACAACTAGGAATAAATAAACACTCAAAATGGTGGTTTATTTTAACAATGCCTTTAAATAAAGTAGATTTCTTCTTAACTTTTTCATGTACTTTCAAACATAATGAATATATTTGTGCCACTTTTATAAGATTTAATGGTATCATTTCACTTCCTTTTCATGACCCCAAAAGAGGTAACAGCTGACTCTCCATTTTATGAACATGAAAACAAAAGCTGAGAGAAATTACACATTTCTGTAAAGGCACTTACTCTCAAGTGTATAGTGCAACCTGAAAGTGACTCATATTATGATACTTTGGTAAGTAAATGAAACTACATTTAGCAAGGAATTAACAGAAAGGACCATGGAATTTTGAAAGTTCAAAGTTTCAGAAAAGACTAAAAATAATTAGCTGATAAAAAAGTTATCCCCCCCCAAAAAAAAAGTTATCCCATGGAACAAAAATGTAAAAACTATGTTGGGCCTCCCTGCTGGCATGGGGGTTAATCTCAGAGCTATCACCACCGTCTTCTGAGCTCCTGCCTGGGAGCTGACGAACATACGGGCTCAGCAGATATCTACTGTCTCCCTCTCTGTTCCCTTTAGCAGTATATTTCAATAAATCTGCCTGTTCTGCACCCCACTCTGTCTCTGGTGAATGCACACCACCTATACCTCTGGCCTATATCTTAGTTCTTCTATGCATAAGTATATAAATAATTTTTTTTTTAAGGAACTGGGCTATTCATTTGTGAAAGATAGGAATTCACAAGAACAGGTAGATCAGGTAGAAATTGACAGTTGTTTTTCTCTTCATGTTTTAAACTATGGGGCAAGTGAGTGTATTTGAGAACATAAGCTCCCTGAGTTAGACCAAAGTTCAAATCCCTCCTCCACCACTTAATAACTGCCTTGAACAGGTTATTTTTATATCTCAGTTTCTTTTACACGAAGAAAGCAATGATATAATTCATGCAAACACTAGTGACCAAAATGCCTGACCTCTCACCTGATATCACAAATACCAAAAAAATCATTAATTTGCTATAACTCCAAATACAATATTAGAATAATGAGAAATATCACTATAAGTTAGAGACTTGCCAAGCTTTCTTCATACACTCAAACTATAGGATTTTTATATTATAAATAAGAGTTTAAATTGAATTACTGCTTTTGTGGGGCAAATGAAGAAAACAGTTTCACATTCTAACCCTTCCCCTTTCCTTTCCAGTTGGCAGAAAAGTCAGGCAGAAAGTTCACAGGGAGAAACTTGATTCCTCTCCAATGGATTTAGACACAGTCCTTCTAGCCAATTCCTCAAGGACATGGTGGAATGAAAACAATTAAAAAAAAATAAATTACGTAGAAAAATATTTACATATATCACTCACAGTTTGGAGGTGAATTTTATTTCTTCTTCTATTTAGATATTACTCTTTAAACTAAATGTGAGATGGTGTATAAGACCCAAACCAGGCCCTTCAATAAGTTTTTTTTTTTTTTAATTTATAAGGGGTATATTCTCTATTCCTGGGCACATTCTCAGGAAGGTTATGGATAAGTATTACATTTCAGAGAACATTTGAGTATTTCTAAGAAGGGGAAGGTGGGCATCCTCAGTCACTCATCACACGCTACATGTGTTCTATGTGCAATTGTGGGGTGGAGATTTAAGCATAAGAACTAAGGGGGTTTGGACATTGTAATCAAAATGTAAGACTTTAGCTTGCATGTGGATTCTATAGCTGCCTAGACTAGATGAAGGCTTGTCAGAAAATGGTAATCACAGCATCCAGTGATGGCTAACAAGTTGACCCTACAGGATGCTGCTCAGACTGACCTTACAGGAACACATGGAAAAACAGTCCACAAAAGAGTAAAAGCAGTAAGGATGAAAATAGCAAGGATGGTAAGAGTCCTCTGTGCATTAAGGGGGTGGTATATCACAGCCAGGCAAGTTGTAGTTCAGCAAATAATCACTGGATGAAGGAGTGAACACCAATTTCAGTGTTGCCATTGGCTTATAATAGTTCCCATCACAGGGAACTAGTTACTAGATTTTGATATATTTGCACAATGGAATAGTAGACAGCCCGGAAAAGTGTGTGTGTGTGTGTGTGTGTGTGTGTGTGAGAAAGAGACAAAGGATGAGTTCTGTGATTAATCAGACAAGAAAAGGCAAAATTTAAAACAAACACTACACATGTTAAATAAACAAACTGTTTTTTGAAATGAAAATAAGAGGTAAAGTTATTGCCTCTGAGTAGAGGATTAGGAAACTGGTTTGGGATGAAGACGATTTTTCTTTTACGAAGTTCCTTTGATAAACTTATTTTGCACTCTTTACTATGTATAGATTGGATTTACCAACTATACTCTTTACTGTTTCAATTAAAATAAAATTAGGAACAACAAAAAATACAGAGACAACTGGATGGGAGCTTTTGAACAAGCCGTTTGGAGAAAGTGTTGAAACTACATCAGTTTCAACGGCTGTGCACGCTTTGTGTTAGGTTCTGTGTAGGGCACATCTTGTCCTATGACATTGGTTAATGTTCAATCATCCAAACCAGTCAATGAGATAGGCATTCGCACCGTTATTTATCGGATGAGGACACTAAGTATGATAGAATTCATGCACGCAGTCCTATTTCTGATTCCTATCTTCCCATCTCCATCTCAACCAACTGACAAAATTGGAATCATGTAAAGTACAAGTCTATCCCTACTGTTCCAATTTAAAAAAGAGGAAAAAAAACACCGGCCCACTTTAATGTTTAGACACTTTAGATACTAATAGTGATTTTTTTTTTTTTTTGCCAGTATCTTCCTTTAGACTTTCAATTTTACTGGCAATCTCATTTTCCCCACCACAGATGGAGTCAACTGTATATTCTAAAGATATGGTAAGTCTAGGCTTCCTGCTTCTCAGCTGTCTTATGTCACCCACTTCCCGCCAGCTAGAGGAATGCCTGATGCCCCGAACTTCATAGGTTCAGGAGACTCTCCTAAGATAGAATACCAGTTTGGGATCAGAAAAGGCATCAACCAAAGGAGCTACAAGTTTTTCTAGCTTCCCTGTCTCTGTGACTCAGAGAAACTGGAAGGACCTGCGCGGGATTTCTCAAACGCCAGTTTCGCATAGCCACCGGTTCTAACTTCGGCTTTCGCGGAGGTCTGTGCCGGGTCTAGTCCGCAGAGCCGAGCTCAGTCGGATGCCTTACCCTCCAGGCCAGGTCGAGATCGAAGTCCCGGGCGCGCAGGAACCGTAGCAGAAAGGAGTCTGAGAGCGGCAGCGGCACCAGTTGATTGCCAGCCTCCGCCGCCCGGCGCCGCAGCTCCGCCAGGCTGGGCTGCAGCAGCGGAGAGTGGTCTGGCAGTGCGCTGAGCTGCAGCCCAGAGGGGTCCGGCTGCGCCTCAGCCATGCCCGCGCCGCCGCCACCGCCTTTGCCCAGGTGGCCTGGAAAGGCTTGGGCCCCGCGCTACCCTCAGGCCCCTCCTCCGGTGACAGCTGTCCAGCACACACCCACCCTCCTTGAATCAGGCCTGCCCCGGCAGAGAACACTGCCCGGCGGGAAGACCCGACCTGCGGCCTTAAAGGAAATCACGTGTGTTCACGGGCGCCAGTATTTCTGAAATCTCTAGGTATAACCCAAAAGTTGTTTGCCTAGATGATTGCATTGGTTGGGATGTTTAAAATTTTCCAACAGAACGCCCCCCCCCACACACACACACACTTTTTTTCTTCTTTCTCCTTCTTTCCCTCCCTCCCTCCCCTCTCTTCCTTCTTTCCTGGTCCTGGAACTGACTGAATTTCCCACCCTTCTTCCATTAAGGCTCCAAACTCACATTCCACCTCAAACTATGTTACAACAGTGGCTTCTAAAACACACATTTCACAATACCACCTTAACAGGCTCACTACTCCGTTCCTTCCTCCCAATCTAGGCAAAGTCTCAGTTCTTGTCACTTTGTACTTTTAGTGACATTTACAAATAAATGACTAACACGTGCCAAAATTTGTTTTAAGCACCATATGTTCCCTCAGTTAGGCTCTTCCATCCTGTCTAATCGCCCAACAGACAGTCCGAAGTCCTTATTTTCACTTGTCTGAGTCCAGGTAAGGAAAATGAAGCAGGGAAGTGAGGTCTTTGTTGATCTCCACCAATTACAGCTATCCTAGAATTGACCCACCTCCCCAGGGCTAATCCTTATTGAATGTATAGTTTGTGCAGCTAAATTCTAGAATGACACAAACATATAAAGCCACATCTTTGCCTTTCCGCTCAGAGGGGTGGTGAGCTGCCATTTCATTCATTCAAACAAGAGTTACTCACTGGCTACCTTAACCAGGTCCTGTTCTAGGTACTGCAGGTACCTGTTAAAAAAAAAAAAAGACAAAAACCTTAGTTGTTCATACTTGTGGAAAAATACAGACAATAAACAAGATAAATAAGTAACAACATATGGTATGAAAGCTGGTAGTCAGTGGTTTGGGGGAATATAAGGTTCACCTACATGACATTTGAATAAACAGTTGAAACAAATGAAACTGCCCCAGGGTTATCTGTGGGCACAGAGATGCAGTCTTTGATTTCTATTCTGAGGGATCTGGGAAGCCTTTAAAGTAGATAATCAAGTGATAATCAGTGATGTCACTGAAAACAACAAAATAGTAATAAAAAATAGTAAAATAAATAATCAGAATTCAATGAGAATGCTATTATATATGAGAGGGATAGAAATTCCAAGCTTTGAGTTTTACTTGAGTGATATGGAAAGCTAATGCAATAAAGGTTTACAATTCAATGTGAAATGATGATGGGACAATTCAGGATTCACAGTTAGTGTCCCATGATCAGACATTCAGTCATAGTCAGGGCCCAATGGCAAGCCAGAGCTGTGTTGTTTTTTTCTTAAAGATTTAATTTATGCATAAATTAACTAGGGTACAGGCAGGCCAGAGGTATGGGGGGGGGGTTAGCAAATTCATCAGAGACAGAGTGGGTGCAGAACAGGCAGATCTACTGAAATACAGTGCTGAGGAGAGCAGCTGACAAGACCGGTGAATTCAGCTCCCTGGCCTGGAATTGAACTAGTGCTGCAGTGGCTGTGGATAGCTTCATAGTGTTGTACTTTAACTCCTTGTGCCACCAGGGAGGGCCCCCTAGAGCTGTGTTTTGATTAAAGAAATGTGAGCAAAATAAGGAATGACCTTACTGTAGAACCCTAGAAATCCACACAGTGATTCTCTGTATGGGACATCTGTTTGTCATAGATAATTCCAGCCCTCTAGTTGGTTTCTAAGATACAACGTTGCAGGGCAACTTGTGGTCTCTGGCCAGGACCTACTGCAGAGGTTTTTCATATTTCAAGTTCCATTTAACACTGGCAATCTGACAGCTGGATACTAAATAAATTGAATCAGCATGATCAAATTTGGTAATGTGTCACCTCTAAAATCCAAAGGGGTCTCCTATCAGATCTGGTGCCTCTTTCTTTGCAGTGGAAAGTCATAGGTACAACAACTTATCTTTCACTTGAGAGGAAAGAATCTTAATATATTTTTTAGGGATTTATTTTATTTATGTATATAGGTCAGAAGTGCAGAGGATTCACCAGAGACAGAGTGGGAAGCAGAGCAGGCAGATGGACTGAAATACACTGCTGAGGGGAGCAGTGGGCAGAACAGGAGAGGTCTGCCACACCATGCGGGTCACCTCCCTGGCTGGGGATAGAACTCTTGCTGCAGTGGCTGCAATAGCTTCATAGTGCTGTGCTTTAACCCATTGTGCCACCAGAGAGGGGCTAAGAGGGAAGTATCTTTGTCCCATATTATAATTGTCATTAATATAGCAGTAGCTGAATTAATATGGGTTTATCTCCTACTCCCTGGTTTGCTGCAATATTACAAAAGCATGTTTTGGCAAGGTCCTGCTCACCAGGCCCAGTCAATATATAATAATGTAACAGACCAATATCCTGAATAATTCTATTTTCATTCCTGATGCACCTTCTCCCTTTTTCTACCATTTTGCATGCCACAAGACAGGGTCATTGAATGTCTCAGTGTGCTCCTTGTCTCTTGACTCCCAGTTGTGTTTGGCCAATGGAAGACACTGACCACACAGGAGTGTCTGAGGCCAAATTTTATCCCCCGGCTTCCTCCTCATGGGAATGCAGCAATTTGGTTTTATTCGTCACCAGAGGCCACAATACCAAAACTATCCATCCTATGTGTCTTGTGTCCATTCAACTCCATATTCAGTTGTTAGGGCTGGATTCAGGTGGACTGAAAAACAGAGAGATATTTTCACAGTTCTGGAGACAGAAGTTTAAGATCTAAGTGTTCTCAGGCTTGCTTCCCCTTTTGGAGACTGAGAGAGAATCTATTCCATATGTTTCTATAGCTTTAGGTCCTTGCTTATAATCCTTGGTGTTCCTTGGTTTGTAACTGTACCAGTCCAATCCCTGTCTCTATCATCACATGGTATTCTCCCAAACATCTGTGTTTGTGTCTTTTTTTTTTTCTCTTCCTAATTGGGTCAGATCCACCCTAATTGAGTATGCCTTCATATGTGCTTGATAACACCTAAGAACCCTTATTTCCAGGGCCTTCCTGTAGCACAGGGCTTTAGGTCTCAGTACAATGAAGCTGTCGGCCACCACTGAAGCACAAGCTCAATCCCTGGCCAGGTTCTGACCAACATGGTGCAGCAGACCTCTACTGTCTTTCTCCTACTCCCTTGAGCAGTGTATTTTAGTATGTCTGCCTGTTCCGTCCTCACTCTGTCTCTGGTAAATCTTCTTACTCCCCAAAACACACCTCTGACCTGTACCCCAAATCTTGTGTGTATAAATAAATTAAAGTAAAATCTTAAATAAAAGAACTCTTATTTCCAAATAAGGTCTTGAATTTTGAGGTTCTGCAAAGGTCATAGATTTTAGGCAGACACACTCAATCCAATGCAAATGGGAAAGTGGTAATGACTTGGCACTTCCCATCATTTGCTGTAAGTACTCCTTTTATTAAGCTATTGTAATGTATCCAATTTGAGAACACAATCGGTTTCTGGTCAGAATCCTACATAACCACCTAGTATTGCATATACAGATAATCAAAGTCTCTGAACCACATAAGAGAAGAAAGTAGGAGAGCTTCATAGCCCTGACTTAAGTGCATGCACAATCCCTGCAGTATAAAGGCAAACTGTTTTGATTATCTTTAGTGACTGAAGTTGAAAAACCTTCTATAGATTAGTAGTGCAATGTTTATTTACCCCAATTAGGAAACCACATGTAGAACCTTAGCTAAAATTAGTACCAACTTCAGACTGTTTGCAAAAATCCCTAATCATCTTCTAAAACCTGTTTAATTTTGCTGTCTAATAAGCAAGTTAAATTTCCCCAGTCCCATGATTTGGTGATGGGAAACCCAAGGGGATTGCAACTGAGATGGAAAAATGCACAAAAATATGTAAAAATAAACTAATATAATAAAAAAAAATTCCCCAGTCCCTATATTTACTTGGTATTGCTCTTGTTTACCTTGAAAATAGTAGAAGATGGCAGCTGAGGACAGGGGGATATGTGGAGCCCAAACAGCTTGGGATGGTCAAGGGTTTCTGTTTATAGTCTTTTTCTATTAAAGTAGCATTTACTAAAACTAAATAAATAAACTAACATTTACCCCAAGGGTCATAACCAATTTGGGGATTCTGCCCAATAGAAAATATATTTATTTTCTTTACATATTCTTTTAATGAGGAAACTACCACAAAATCAATATATCCCATCAAATCCATTGCAAAATATTCCATCTAACACTAATCTTCATAAGGCCATTGGGGTATTTGTGGGCTCTGGGTATCAGAGTCACAATATTCGGTAACCTACAGAAACACTCGGTATTCCCCTTTCTCCAGTGTTTATTTACCCTGATAAATGGCAAGAAGTCTTTCTGGATCTGATTTCAGGGAAAAAATCATATTTTATACTTATTGCAAAACAAGAAATGTCCTCTGAGAGAACTTATCTTCCCTTTCAATCAACAGGATCCTTTCATCTGTGAACTGGGTGCTTTACTTAGATGTGTAAACTGGATACTTGATTTTGAACTACATTTTGAACTTCAGCTGTCCATTAAAAAAAATATGGATGTCTAAAAGGAAAAATTGTACCCCTTGTTAGGAATATTATCTAACATATTACTATCAGTCATTCTTTAGAAAATGATGTATTAAAGTCTATATCAAAGCTTATTTAAACAAAGGCTTATATTATCCTACTATCTGACAGGCAATATTCTAAATTCTTTATATGAATGGATTTAATTTTCTTTTTTTCTTCCTATTTTTTAATTGAAATTTTTTTAAATATATATTCATCACCTCATCCTTCATTTTTGTACAATGCATGATTTCCT